TACTTGGATGAGAGTGCGTATTTGTAAAATTTCGGAACGCACCTACGAAATACGCTGAGATGCGTTTATAAATCGAGAGCGTCAAATTTTCAATCGTTCGGACAAAACTCGTCGGAACGTTTATTTTTGCCCAATAATAATACGAACGGTAAGTACAAATTATTGTCAAATCAAGTTTTTGGTTATGTCTCTGTTATCTGAGATTGTAGGAATTATCAAAAATTAGTAAATAGGTAAAAACATGACGTCCACATAGACTTTTTATGTAAAAATTCAATTAATTACCTTTAATCCTGTGTAATAAAATTTTATCATTTTCTATGATGAAATTACCATCGTTTCCGGCAACTAGACGATAATTGATGGAATTAATTTTCTCACTCATACTCATATTTAAATATTTAATAATCAAAAAGTAAAAATAGAAAATTAAATACTAGGTGGTTCTCTTAGGTTAATTAGGATTATGATACACTGCGCAAGTCGAGTAAATATTACACTACTCAATACGGTGGGTTAAATTTCTTCATCCCGATGCGTTTTTCTCTTAAATAGGAACGGCTGAGGTGATTCGTCCAGATAAAACCAGGGGCTGGTAACTCAAATGGAAAAACTTACTTACTTTAGAAAACTTTATTTACAATTAAAAATTTATGTACATGTCATATAATAAATATTGCATTCACCACACTACCGAACCCGAGCGGCGGGTTTTTCACGCGAGCCCTCCGGACTATGGAGGATAGAGTATATCCGCCATTTACAATATTTATTTACGACTAAATATTTCTGGTAAACGTAGCAGCCCTTACTCCTTACCCGAGCGGTATTATTAGGGGATTTTGGGGTCTTTTGGAATCAGGAATGGAATGTTATTTAAAGGATTTGTCGTGTTTTTGTTCTGGTTATTGTCCCCTGAAAAAGCTAGAAAAAACAGGGTTGTCCTTGTGTGTGCGTTTGTTGATTAAGTCTATGTTTGTGTAGTACAACTCACTGGCTGAGTGATCGATAGACCTTCCATCGCGGCAATTTTCGCAAAAATCGCGGTTGTTGCCTCGATGGCTAGTCTACCGTTCAGTCCCCGTCCGACTGGTTTGTGTAAGTACCCAGTCGGCGTGAGCTGTTTTAGTTAGTTTGTCTGTGATCGTTATGGAGGAATGTTGTTGTCTTTTAAAATTTGTAAATAAAAATTATTCTAGTCTAGTTATTGTCTGTGTCTGTAAATGTCAAGTTTGGCGTGTATACAGCCGTGCTTTCTACGCACGCCATCCCCTCGATGTATGTTTAGGATACTATCCTTAACATCATCGGGGAGACAACGTTTGTAGAAGTTCTCGGCTGTTTTTAGTACGTAGTCTTTGTTTGGTGGTGTGTCTGTTTGTCGGTGCATTACTGTGATTCTGGCATAACGATCATAGCCCAGGGCTAGCCGAAGACACCTGTTTTGTGCTATTTGAAGTTTTATATAATGACAGTTTGCCATTGAGCAAAAAACTGGGCAACCATATGTTAGGATGGGGCGTAGGATGGTATTGTACATCAGGAGTTTGTTGGACAGAGTAACTCGGCTTCTTCTATTAAGAATAGGGTAGAGGGTTTTAATAGCTACATGATTTTTAGCCACTCTGTCCTTGATGTGGAGGTCGAATGTTAACCCCCTATCTAACAGAAAACCTAGATATTTGATTTTGTTTGTAGTAGGGACTTCCTGCTCTCCTATTTTCAAAGGAGTCATTATTCCCTGACTACGTCTTTTAGTAATCATCATACTCTCAGTTTTTGTTTCATTTATTTTCATCTTATTCTCTGTAAGATAGGGGATTAAATCCCTGTTTATATGGTTGTCCAGCTTTCTCACTGCTGTCTCGGCTGACCTGTCGTTAGCAAAAAGACAGATGTCATCGGCGTATAGTGCCGTTTGTACCCCATTATCACCCATTGGCATGTCATGGGTCATAATGGTGTACAAGTGGGGCGACAGTACTGAGCCCTGGGGTACTCCCGCTTGCGCAGTGTAGGGTCCTGTTATTGTCTTGTTTATTTTAATGTTAAATTGTCTGTCTGTAATGTATGACTGAATTATTTTCACAATATGAACGGGAAAATCACTCACAAGCATTTTATGAATTAGTCCGCAGGTCCAGACGGTATCAAAAGCTTTTTCACTGTCTAAAGCCACTAGTACCGTTTGCAGGTCATTATTTGACGCCTCTTTGGCGTTATGAACAATTCTAATGACCTGTGCCACGGTACTGTGTCCGCTTCTGAAACCGTACTGTTCCCGCGGGATAATTCGTAGTTCGTTTTCTATTTTGTGAAGTCTGATTAATATTATTTTGTCTATTATTTTAGCTACTGTGTTGAGCAACGAGATTGGTCGATAACTGTCAACGTTCTTTGGGTTTTTTCCGGATTTTAAAATGGGAATTATATTGGCTATTTTCAGACTGCTTGGGTAATGTTGCAGCCTGAAAATTGCGTTTATTATGTAATTCAGTTGTACAACCCCCTTTCTGGAGATGTTTTTAAGTAGAATATTGCTTATGTCATCCGGCCCCGGAGCTTTTCTATTTTTCAGGAATCTAATAGTTTCCCCTATTTCTTTAGGAGTAGTATAAAAGGAGTGGGGTACGTGTACTGGCCCTGTGTTACTTAGGTCTTTAACTATATTTTCGATATTGTTTTGATTATCGTTATTTCTGAAATTATTTCTGAAAATAGTTTGAAAGTGTTCGCCGAAGGCTTGTCCTTTTTGTGTGTCTGTCATGTAAAGGTCTTGTCCTTGATTCAAAGTGGGTAGCAGTGAGTACGGTTTTTTGTACCTTCTCACTACTTTCCACAATGAATTGTCATTTGGATTGATTTCTGACAGGGTTTTTTGCCATATTTTGTTACGATGTTCGTTTATTAATGTATTAATGTGCTTAGCAATATCCATGAGTCTAACCCTGTCATCATCTCTCCTGTGTAGCTGCCACCGTTTTCTGATTTGATTTTTGTTCGTTATGAGTTCAAGTATTTCCGGTGGCAGTGTGTCTTTGTATTGTGTTGTCGTTTTGATTTTTGTCGAGTCGTCTCTAGCTTTTTGTACGACTGTTATGAAATTTTTTGTAGCTTGTTCTAGTTGTAGTGCGTTTGTTATGTTGTTGTTTATAGTTAATGTTTGGTCTATTTTACGTCTGTAAGTGTCCCAGTTTGTTGTTTTGTAATCGTAGTATTGTCTTTGTAGTCTGTTTATTTTTTGTGAAGTTCTTATTTCCAAATACACTGGATCGTGATCTGAGTTCATAGTGCTTATAGTCCTAATATTTTGTACATCAGGGATGTTTTTGGTGACTGCTATGTCCAGTGTACTTGGAGTTGAGCCGTTATACGGGGTGCAAGTAGGTTCGTCCGTGTAATGTATAATTAGTTCGTTTTCTTCGGCGAAATCTCTCAACATATTTCCCGAGGGGTTAGCATGAGTAATAATAATGTTTATTAGTAAGAACAGTAATTTTTACAATAAATTTTAAATTTATATTTTTTTTTTGTTTCTTTACAGTACAATCACCTACCAATAAACTGGTGTACCACAAAGCCGGAGGGCTGTCCGTGGTATAAGTTAGAACGTAGTAATTATTACTGTGTATTGTCTTAATATTATTTATGATTCAAGATACTTTAAAACTTATAATTATATTGTTATCACACAAATTAACAGTAATATTATTTTTGCAACTTATTTGCTATATAATAGAATACAATAATATAAATAATAAATATGAAATCAACAATTTGATAAATAATGTAAAATAACATAATAGTAAAATAACATAATAGTAAAATAACATAATAGGGAAATAATACAATAGAAAAATAGGAAAATAGTACAGTACGCGTCCCATTCTGGGTGTTTGCTGTTTAGATCTCCTGCTAGAAAAACTCTAGTACCTTTTGACATCAGCGCGTGCATGTCTGTGCTGAGAATTCTCTTGGCGGGGGGGTTGTACACCCCAATTATAATGTAGTTAAGGCATTTAATGATTACATGCTCAATGTGTGGTGAAATATTGGCGTTGGGTAGGTGCGCGAAGTTTTTATTGACAAGTATAGCGACCCCTCCCGCTGCTTTTTGTCTTACGTTTTGTCTGTCTTGTACCGGTCTGTCTTGTCCGATGATGTTGTAGTCCCTAATTTTGATTTTGTCCGTTTGTTTTAAATTTGTCTCTGTAAGTATTATTATGTCAAATTTATGCTTGTGAATGAAATTGGTTACTAAGCCACGTTTGCTTATCAACCCGTTCACATTGTAAAAACAAATTCTGATTTTGTCTTTGTACGTCGGATTGAACTTAGTTCCTGAATTTATACGTGTTAAGGTTAGCTACAAAGTTGTTATAGGTTATGAAAATGTCGCGTTCGTCCCTGCACTGTCTGATGGAGGAGTTGAGGTCCCGAACGGCTCAGGTAAGTTCTGCTATATTTACCAGCTTATTTAGTGTGTTAAACTCATCGTTTAGTGAAAACATATCGTCCATGGACCCGGGAATTCTGTCTTCGGCTTGCTGTTGTGTTTGTGGTTGCTGGCTAGCCTGATGGCCGCCTTGTTGTGGTCTTCTGCTGGGTAGGGGTGGGAACTGATCGTTCTCTGCTCTGCTGTTGCTGCGGTTTCTGTTTTTGTCCCACATGTTTACTGTTGGGGCGGGGGCTGGTACGTAGGTTCGTTGGGGCATCTGCATTAGTTTGCGTTCTTCCATCCTTTTAATTCTGTCTAAGTATGACGGACATTGACTATAGTTAGCCGGGTGGTCTCCCAGACAGTTGACGCACGTGGCTGGGGTGTCTCTTGTTTTTATACAAGTCCTTGTATGGTGTCCTTCGGCGCACTTAAGGCATTTTGGGGGTCTTCCGCAATTTGCCGTAGCGTGTCCCCACGCCTGGCAATTGTGGCATTGAATTATCGTCTTGTTCGACTTTCTAAGTTCCCATGTAATACGGGTATTCTCTATGACGCGTACATTTTTATTGAGAAAGTCCAGGGTGATAGCGGGATCTGTCACTATTAAGAATAGCGGTCTGTATTTGGTGGTCATCTGGAAAATTTCCCTGGTTTTTATGTCGTATGACTGTATCATGTCTTCCACAATGTCTTCAATTTTTGTGCCGGTGTTTAACCCCCTTAACACAAATGCATGGGATTTTTCTGACCTGTTAGTGTACGTGTGGTGGGAGATCTTCGACTCTTTGACGCTATCTAGTAAGTCGGTGTAGTCTTTTTTGTCTTCTACGTAAATAATGGTTGAATTATTGGTGTATTTTATTGAATACTTCCCTTTTATTATATTTTGAAGATCCGTTTTTAGGGTACTGTGATTGTCGGTTTTTCCTTCAATTACAATTGGGGGCATGGCCGCTCTCCTGGGTACGTTTGGTGGGTTTTTTGCGCTGTTGTTAACTATGCTTGGGGGTTTATTTTCTGTGCCACTCTGTATACTCGTGGTAGGGTGTTGTGTTACAGGTTTTTTAGATGGGAGGGATGCTTCGTCGTCTGAATCTGTGTCCGTAAGCACATTGTATTTATTTTGCAGTTTTATGGACCTTACTGCCTTTTCTCGCAATACTTTAACGAAATTTGTAGAGAATTTTTTAGGGGTTTTGAAAGCTCCTTCCCCTTCGTTTGTGTCCATTTTTTCTTGATCCTCTTTGTTGGAATCATCTATTGTGGGCCTTTCTGGCGTCCTTTTTCTTTTTGGTGGTTGTTCTGGAGTGATTGTGGTTTTAGGGACCGCGCCTGTGGACTCCAGCGGTTTTTGACCAGTGAATGTTCGCACTTGACCCGGTACCGTGCTATTTCCCGGCTTATTTACTGAAGAGTTCTCGTCCTCACTCGATGTAGTGTTTTTGAAATTTAAGATACTCTCTTTGATCGAGGCTGGCAGCTGTAGAGTCGCGTATGCCGGTTTTTCGCATACCGTTCTTTCATTTACACTCGACGGTGTTGGAAGTCTGTCTGTCTCGAAGTCGAGCGCTCGCGTTGTCACTGTGGCTGGCAGCGGTAAGGTAGTGTATGCGGAGACGAACGTGTCGCGCCCGATGCCCAAAGCGTGTTCTGTCTGTGAGTCGTTGTTACTTTTTTCACTATTCTCCATACTTTTTTGTATGATATCATTCAATGTTTTCTCCGCGTTTTCGGTACATTCGAGAATTAGAGTGTCTAAGGATTTGGATTTACCCGCGCTACCGGTGTTTGTTTCAGCGTCTTTGTTTTCCGCGTTAAACTCTGAGAAATTCACTATTGTGTCATTTAGCGGCGAATTCTCCGCACTTTCGAAATTTCCGTCGTTGTCTGGAGAGCCGTCCGAGCTCCTACGCGATACCTGTTTCATGTCCGATTCCGGTATAAAAAGTTTTTTGAATACTGATGTACGTTTCGCACTACCAACACTATTCTCCTTATTTTCATTACTGTTCTCCATACTTTCGAGAGATGAAATTTTGGTGCTTTGCAGCGCACTTTGGGTATGGTCGGCGGGTTGGGATTGTGTTATATCTGTTGCCATTTCCAGGTCCGAGTTATTGTTAAATGTTTTGAACTGAATTTTCTCCATACTTTTTTCCGCGAGCTTTTTGTCGAAGAGTCCCTTCTGGAGCTGGATCTCGACTTGCTGGATTCATATTTCACATTAGGGGTACTTACATGTCTGTATGGGTGGTTCCTGCTGTGGATGCGACTCCTAGGGCTGTGTGGGGACTTCTTTTGGGTAACTTGTGTTGTTGATGTTTGAGTAAGTTTTTCTATTTTGTCCTTGTGGCGAATGGATATAGGGTATTTACAAAGTTTGGATCATCTGAATTCTTGTCTGGAAGGGGTTCTTTGGCTACCCTTTCGGGTTCCGCCATAGGCGGTTTTTGTTTCACTCCCGATCAGGTATTAACTACTTTACCTGGTACGACGCGTGAATAATAACAATGAAATTTGAAATTTTTAGGTTAAACACAAAACCGAGCTAACTACCGTATTAAAAATGTAGTAACGTCCTCTGATAAAGTACAGAGGATACTGATAATGGAAAAACATGAGGACGGTAATTTAGTACCACTCCAATTAACGAGATGGCGCTCGTATCGAAATGTCATGTTAGTTGTCAGCTTGTCAACAAAACTTCAAACTTGGAAAAATTAAAATGGCTGTTGCATTTGAAGGTGTATTGGATTTTGATTCATCTAGATTTATTTTTCAACACCTTCCAATTTTAAGCATGTTTTCATGAGATGGGAACATGGATTTCAGCAACGAACAATAAAGCACTCCTAGTAGTGATGCAATTTATACCACGTATTAAATATGATGTCATATTAAAGATAACCAATTTGTAATAAGTGTCTTAAGAAAAATGCATCTTTTACTGTTATCAATGTAAATAGTACTTACTATTTACAAACTTGTTTTTGATTCAGTGTTAAAATAATTGGTTTGTTATTTAAATTTCTTTTTGTTTTCAGTATTTAAATGATCATTATTGTAAAGAAAATGTTGGCCCTCCAAAATACCCTGTCCATTGATGAAATATTTGAGCCTCAGCCATCAATATCAAAAACTGATTCAATGCCATTGGCATCAAACAAGAAAACGCCCTAAAATCTTCAAGGGTCCAAACGTGTGTAAAGGGCCCCACTCACCTCGTTCTTCTTCGCCGTTTTTAACCGACGGTTAAAAACGTTGGAAGGAAGAACGTTGACTGATATGTCCATACACAACAGTTTTTTTCGCGCTAGTTTATCACGATGGACCGTACGTACTTGTTAGCAGTGGCAGCGGTTTTGGCAGTGGAAAAAAATCGCGAAAAAAGAAAATCTCGAAGAAAATGGAGTAAAGACTGGCTACTTAAACGCTGTACACTGTCACATACAAATTTACTGAAGGAGCTAAGATTGGAGCCTGGTGATTGGTACAATTACTTGAGGATGGACGAGGATAAGTATCGGAAACTGTTAAAACTAGTAACACCGTTAATTAAGAAAAATAATACCCATTTACGTGAATGCATCAGTCCTCACGAACGCCTAACAGCTACTCTGCGGTTTCTGGCCACTGGCCGCAGCTACGAAGATATGAGGTTTTCTGTTATTATTTCACCGCAGGCACTAGGACGCATAATACCCGAAACTTGCCAAGCTCAATAAACTCTATAAAAAGTCTTTGTTCCACTGCCTAATATCAGACACTTTTATTATAACCAGTTGTAAATAATAATAAACAACAAAAACATGCTGAACGTCGCTGCCACTGATAAATCCTCGACCATTCAAACTGTTGAGAACACACACCTCGTGTTTACTCGAACGGTTGGTACGATAACCGACAAAAATCAAGCTTCGCCTGAAATTTTGGAACGACGTTCATAAACGACGTTCTTGCCTATACACCTCATTTTTGTAACATTTTTACCCTGAAGTTTTTAACCGTCGGTTAAAAACGGCGGAGAAGAACGAGGTGAGTGGGACCCTTTCGTTTAATTTATGCTCAAAAGTTAAATTCATTTATCACAGTGCCCACATGATGAATAAAAATTTGATAACTACAAGTGCTGTATAAATGAATCAAGAAAACAATTATCGGATGAAGAAATGCTCCTCAACCTAACTAGTCGACTCGATAACCGTATGGCAAATTTTATCCACACTCAAATTTGCCTCGATAGTAAAAAAGGATGATGCTTCAACTTCAATTTTTTCAAACTGATTTGCCACTCCAAGTCGCAAAACTTTTATAAATGTCTTGAGCACTTATATATGCTGATTTTGTTACAGAAAACATTTTTGATAGGTTTGTGTCATAAATATTTAATTATTTAAATGGTGTAAATGCATATTTGTTTAGAGTATTTCCATGTTTAAAAAGACAAATTATATGATGCGGCGTTAATTTAGTGCAATAAAAAAAATAAAATAAAATGAATTTTATTTCAAGTTTGAAATTAATGCAAAAATATAATGAAGTAAAATCAAATAAAGATATAAATTTGCAAAATATTTGTCTAGTTTCAAATCACAAAACAGTCAATATGGTTGTTTTATGATTTGAAACTAGTCAAATATTTTTCCAATTTTTTTGCTTTATTTGATTTTCTTCATTACATTTTTGCGCTACTACAAAGTTAAATTTCAAAGAGCCCGCTCGTGGCGGTCATACTGAATTTTAGTACCACTCCAATTTGATAGATGGCAGCACATCGACTCAGAATTTTACCATTGAGATTCCCATCTATTCACATTAGTAATCTATGGATAAAACGTTCCACATTTAGGAACGCTTTTTAGAATTTATACAACGTCCGGGCACATTTACCCTACATTTCTGAACGCACCCGCTATACAATTTGATCTTGAAAATCCAGATATATAAATTTTAAGGTAAGTTTAAAGGATGTACATTGTTTTCCTAAAATATTTTCACGTCCTATAATCTGTGTTGCGTTCTTAATTGCTGGAATTACGTGTACATATTTTAATGTCGATTTAGTCTATACGGCGTCAATGGTATAATTATTGTTCGTGGTATGCAATCGAGATGGCTACAATAGCAATAGCTTCAGTATTAAGAGTTGTGCCTAGTCTGTAAGAGTGCTCAGATTGATGGTTTGTAAGAGTACGCGCGCACTCTTACAAATTATGCACATTTAGGACATTTAAATACATTTTTAAATAAATTTTACGTTATTTGTTTTATTACAGAATGTCAACGCGAAAAAGGACCTCTCAAAGAAATTTGAGTTCATCAGAAATTATGGACGAGGCTACAAAAAGAGTTGAAAATGGCGAAAGTAAAAGGAAAGTTGCAGCATCATTGGGAATGGCTTAGTGTACATTCAGAAAAAGATTAAAACGTGCGAGCATAGCTACAAATCTGGGGAGGTTTGACGTACACTGACCAAGAAAATGGAGGAAGAGCTGAAAACCCCACTTCTTGTTTAGATTCTGATACTCCTTCTCTCCGACCTAAAGGGGTATGCTATAGAAGATTTGATTGTAAAAAGTACTACAAAGATTGTAATATCAGAGATGTTATCAATGACGATAGAGACAATATAGGAAATTTTCAAGGATGGCAAATCTGAAAATCTGCCCAGTCGAAAGTGATTACGTAAAAGATGTAATTGTAAAAAGACAAAACGAAAATGAATGTGAAAACCAAAATAATTTAAACATTTTTCATTTGAAAGCAGTGATGTCTATCATGGACTTGAATAGTCGGGGTGTGGCAGACAGAAAAACTCCCAACTAGAAATATTACTAGATAAGCAGTCACCTGACTTCTTATGTATTTCGGAACACTGACTTAATGCAACATAAAATCATTTTAGGTTAAATAAATTTGAATTAATTAATAGCTATTCTAGGTATGTAGCTTACATGGGGGTGTCTGTATATTAGCAAAAAATCTGATGTGTCCAACACATGACTTTCTTATCTAGTTATTACAACCTTTTGTTGGTTATTTTGTACAACCTATTGTAGCACCTCTGCAAATATTTAGATGTTAACTTAATATATACATTTTCCACATACATCTAACTCAAAACATTTTTCTCTCATTGCCAACGAAAATGCTGAAACATTTAAATTTTATACTTTTCCTCTAATTTTTACATTCCGGTCCATTTTAGAGAAATCATGTAAAAACAAAAATTATAGAGATCGATATCGCAAACATCTTTTAGTTCAAGAATTTTCTTAAAAATCAGAATTTTTTACATTTTAAAAAATTTCTCGAATACTGACCATTTTAGGAAAATTTTATATAGAACAAAAAACAAGAATAATAAGTAACTTTTGTATGACCAATTTTCTTCTCCAAACAAAAATAACTAATATATTCCATAAAATGTAAAAACTATCCTCTATAAAGTACCCCCCAGATGTTCCGACTCTGCCCAAAATCTAATGAATTCACCTTAGGCCGGAATAAAGCTTAAGTTTAAAATTTAATGTGTTTTTCTTTATCCGTTTTTGAGTTTTCTTTAAAATTCGAAATTTACACTTTTTCTCAAATATCTCGAATACGGCCCATTTTAGAGAAATTATGTATGGGACAAAAATTATATCACATCACAAACAACTTTTATTTGAATAATTTTCATAAAAATTTGATTTTTTTACATTTTGTCAAATTTCTCGAATACGGGCCATTTTAGGAAAATTTTGTATAGAATATAAATTATAGATACTAATATAAGAAGTAACTTTTAGTTGAAGAATTTTCTTCTCCAAATGTAAATAACAGATATATTTTATTAAATATAAAAATGACTTCCTATAAAGTACCCCCCAGATGTTCCGACTCTGCCCAAAATCAAATCAGTTCACGGCAGGCCGGAATAAAGCTTAAGTTTAAAACAGACATCATCGCGAAAATAGTTAAAACGGATTCAGGGGACCCAAAAACGTAAAAATCCGTCAAAAACTCGAGGTCGAAAAAAATAATGATTCCTATACTTCCCTTATCTGTATAAATATAGAAAAGTAAAACTGGGATCGTAAGTAAACCAGTTATGTCAATAAATCTATTGAAAAGCTGTTCGAGGCTACCATAATAAAAGTTAACATTTTTGACAAAAAACTAAACTAGGGATAGAACGATACCGGTATATCGGCAGTTGTTGCCGATTACCGGTATCGTATCGGCAAGATAATTGCCGATATATCGGCAAAGTCCTTTTTGCAGGTATTACACGTCGCTTTTTCGTTTTCAAATTTATCTTTCTACATCTTCTCAAAATGTCTCC